TCCCTACAAGCATAACACCCACACAGGGCGTCCTTAAACGCCCTAACGAAGGACTGCACTCAAACTTGTAACCATATGGTAAATGTGAGCATCTCTTGAGGTCATTCGCACTTCTTCCTCCTATGCAGCAGCAAGACTTGCTGCTACTGCAAGAAAGGCCAGCTTACGCCCTTCTTGGCAGAGAAACCCCACCCCTTATCTCCTTCCATCCAGCCCCATCTCTTGAAGCCATTCAATGAATCAATGACCATCAGCTCCAACCTTTCTTCCATCTCTCCGTCCTTCCCCACCTCCATAGTCACCTGCTGCTTTCAAGAGCTTGATTCCATTCCTCTTTTCTCATAACTGGCCTCGGATTACAAAGAGGCATCAGACCCACGTCCCCCATCCACCCTCAACCCTTCCACCTCCACATGCTAACTGCTTCAAGCCACAGCACATGCTAGTGTGTGCACCCCTCGCCTCTCAAGTCACCCTTCAACCCCTCCACCTCCACATTCATCTGCTCCTCCTCCGTCCCTGTTTTCCCGCTCCTGTGTGCTATCCTGTCCCACATTTTCTTAGCGAACTTCGTCTTAGCGAGGATAGGAATGAGGGTGAGCACGGCCAGTAGGCAGAAGATGGCGATCGTGGCAGGATCGTAGAGGTCTGTAACGGAGTTGATTGTAGAGAGTACGCACCCAGCCTTCACTTGCACCACGTTGTATGGGAAGAAACCCAGGAACGTGCCTATAACGAAGGTTGGGAAGGGAATTCCAACCACTGGAGCACAGAGGTTAATCACCCAGGAGGGAAGCACGGGTGTGATTCTAAGGAAGATGATATAATAAACTAGACAGCTCTGGTTGCGCTGCACTTCGCGTCTCAGCCAATCGCAGCGCTCCGTGAAGTACGAGTACACCACATCGCGAAGAATAAGAAGCGATACAGCGTAGGAGAGGCACGCGCCGATGGTTATAAAGAGCGAGATAGTAAAGAGCCCGAGCGGGAAGCCGAAGAGGGACCCCGCTAAGATGTTGCAGAGGAGGGTTCCTGGGATTAAAAAGGTTTGAATAAAAAGGTAAAAGTTAACGAAAGTGAAATACACTCTGGTGGGGTATGCTGCCATGTAGAGGTTGAGTGTAGATCGCATGGATTGGAGGTCTGAGATGCTGTGGGGAAAGTGGAGCGTTGCGTATGCGACAGTTGTCGTGTTGCTGTTGGAAGATTCGGAACCAGGCGGATATGGGTTGGATTTTGTGGCAGATGCGTTGAAGAGGGAATCATCTGGTGCAAATAACGACACGCTGCCCCCGCCGATGCTGCTGTTGCTGCTGCTGCCGTTGGCGGGATATTCTTGGCCTAACGGATCCATAACTAGGGTTTCATTGCTCGGGCTGCTGCCGTTGCTGTTGCTGCTAAAGCTGCCCGGAAAATTTCCGCTGCTCATGAACCCGTTCTCGTTGATGCCGCTGAGCTCGCTCCCATTGGTTGCGACCCCACCAAAAGGCGTCGCAGGCGACTGCAATGCGACCTGAACGGTGGCGATAGACGGCAGCGTTACGAAGCTGACGACGACAATGAGCGACCACCCGAGAAAAAGCAGCAGGAGGCAGGAAAGCCGGCGACATAGTTCCGAACCGACGCCCACGGAAGCAGGAGAAACGTCAGGATAGCCGGAAATTGCGACTATGGCGGGATCTTCTACGGATTTCGGTCGCAGGACGACGGTGCTACAGTCGCTGCGACAACCGCCCTTGCTGCCGCAACAGTCGGAGGTGACGGAGTCGGGAGTGATAGAAACGGGGTCCAGCGTGATGGTAACGGTGTCGTCCCTGATCGGTTTTAACCTAACGTGGGCGGAGTCTATGTTAAGACAATGTATTCTGTCGCTGATGCCGTCGCTGCTGCTTCTTCTGCTGCTGCAGCCACTTCTGCTACCGCCGCCACCGCCGCCGCCGCTGCCGGTGTCGTCAAAGCAGTGACTGGATTCGAGGCCGAACGGGCAGTTGACGAAATCGGCGTTGTCGTCGGCGTCGCTTGCTACTCCGCCGGGGTTCAGCCGCGCGGTGCTCGGCGAATCCGGATCGCGTGAGTGCGACATTGCGCTCGGCGACGTGCGACGTGCGACGTGCGACAGGAAGTGCGACGGGCAACGATGAGTCGCCTGCGGTGACGTCGGCTTTCCCACAAAATAAGTCGACGTGCGGGGATAAATCAGAAACTTCTACGTAGAAGACGAGGGTGTATAACCTAGACGAGGCCGCATACTAACGAGATAAGACTTAGCCAGCAGCATAGGGCTCGAACTGGGGAACGAGGAAGGAAGGTGGCTAGGAAAGCGGCGAGAATCCGTGCCTGCTGTGTCGAGTCCAAGCAGTCGAAAATGCAAGAACCCGCTGGCACTAACAAGCGAGTTAGTCGGCAGAATCTTTACTGAGGATGCCTAGAAACATAGGGAGCATAGAAGCAGACTTGATAAAACTAAAGACGTAAATATGGATGGACGGACGAGGAAGTTATATAGGCCAAGAAGACGTGAAGTGTGGGTGCCTCGGTAGTCATCGAGAACTTCTAGGTCAGGGCAGGTATGGGCGGAGGAACTGCCACTACTGTACAGGTTTGTTCTCCGGGCCTTGCTTGCCTCGGCAGGGCTTCGTGAGATTCCAGAAAACCGGCAGAGCAGAACTGATGCACTCTCACCCTATCCTACCTACACATACACCTTGGAAGTCGGGCTTGTAGGAGTTTCGAACTTGGTTCGGGAGCTTAGGTATTCCAGGACTCCGGCAACTTCGGCGGTACGGGTGATGGGGCAAGTGAGGTATGGGTGCGCATCTGGTTAGCGCAACGAGGCACGGGCCCTGGCTGGGTGAAAGGGGGCGCCGAACGCGGACCAAACCTGGACCGAAGCCAGCACGTAGTTTCAGAGGCAGAAGCTGAAACGTTGACGCGGACTCACGACGAACCGCGAGTCCGCGACAAGAGAGGTGCGCGAGTGTGAGCTTGGGGGGAACGAGCCTTGTGGAAAGAGGAGAACGGGGAAGACGGGACAGCAGAGAAGAACGGGGAAGACATCAAACCGAGACAGCTCTGGCTAGGATGAGGTTTGGTAGGTGGAATAATGGAAGATAATATGCGCGAAGCCTTGGAACAGAGTTGACCCGTTTTGCCTCAAAACGAAATATTTTTGTCAACTCTGTACAGAGTTGAAACTGTGCTCGAGTCGAGAACCTGAAGAAAATAGGAACACCAGTTTGTATCTCAAGCTACTTATAGTTTTTCAGAACCGAACACCGAAAGAAGCTTTCAAGGAAACTTCTCATGATAATCTGTCTCCGAACCCAAACCTGCCTGAAAGTGAGGGAATATAGAACAGGTTCGGCTTCGGTCCCCTGACATTCAGCTCGAGGGGAATGTGATGGTCTGGGGCGGGAACACCCTCAGTCACAACCACTGTCAGTCACAGTTTGGTGGTTGTGGTGTCAGAGAGTTCTGATCTGGGCAGGGTGGAGGAGAACACCTCACCAAACGCGTTTTGATGAAGCCAACGAACATTTCACCAACCGTACCACTCGGCAATAGCGGTCGTGCCAGAGAGATTCGAGGGCTACATGGCAGCAATAGAAACATAAGGAGCTCCATAACGAGAAAATATGGAGATGCGGGATATCGATCCCCGTACCTCTCGCATGCTAAGCGAGCGCTCTACCATCTGAGCTACATCCCCAGCTGGCGTGAGAAATTGATTTTTTTTCCACTTGGGAGAGCGCCCATCCTAGTGCCAGTAGAGTAGAACACATTTGTAGCTTAGGACCGGAGCTATTGAGCAAAAAATTGAGGCCCTCATAAATGACTACCTGGTTAAATCTGGAACATTGAATCCCCCCCTCCCGCTACAATTTCAAAATCTTTCTGCCTATCCAAATCGCACGATTGCGGACGCCCATGTAAGACCAGCACCAAAACCGGCCGTTGCAATAACATCTCCGGCCTTCACTTTACCGCTGCGCACAGCTTCGTCAAGAGCAATGGGGATGGATGCTGCGCTCGTATTGCCGTAACTGGCCACGTTTGAAATCACCTTCTCGTGAGGAATGCTCATTTTAGTTGCCACAGCATCCATTATCCGTTGATTGGCCTGGATGGTGACACAGGAGGAATAGTGAAGTTAGTTGTGCAATAGTGACTGAGGAGCAGAACCGAGTGGCATGGAAAGGAGACTTTGACACCTGGATCAGAGGGAATAGGTGCAACAGCAATGCACAGCTGCATGGCATCTACTGTAGATAACATGTTTAGGTTGGTAAGATGCGCAGTGAAGATCTGAATGGTAGGAGGCCCGTAATGAAAGTAAGCGAACTTCATTACGAGCCTAATAGTGTGTGGTAACTTCTGATTGGACTTTTGTTTTTTTTCGTGCAAGTTGGTACTTACCCCATTGCTCCAGGTGCCTACAGTCCATAACAGAGGAACAGGTTACCTGTTGTTTCCATGTGCTACTTGAGTGCGTGCAAAACAAGACAGCTACCTGATGCAGCAGAAGCCAGTCAATGTCGTCCGTTGAGAGTTCTGCCTCCTGAAGTGCTGCTTGTAGGACCTGCAGGGACAAGAGGCAGGGTGTGGTTGTTTGTGGGAAGGGAGAAGATGTGAAGGTGAAAAATGAAAACATACAGCAGGTCGGGAATCTGCCTGTATGGCATGACGGTATGAGGGGGTACAGGGAGGAGGGGTAGGGGAAGAATGGGGCTAAAGTGGGAAGAGATTTTCAGCAGCACACGCGCAATACATCTGTACTTTGAGGGGGGCATGTCACAATGACAAGAGTCATGGTAGTGAAGGCTCTATGAGTCCGTCCATGCTTGATTTTGTTATGGCCACGAATCAGAAAGTCATGACCCCTGCCCTTTCTTTCGGCTGCTATGGGCAATGGAAGTGTTTTTTTGAGGGGTCTCGAACCATGGATGGCAGTGATACCTGCCTTATCATGGTTGTGTTGCATACATTGGGCACGGAGGTGCCTATCGACAGACGCGTACCTGGGGCACGGAGGTGACAGCGAACTTGTAGACCTCCTTGCCGTTCATCACAATGGGGGTCGCCACCGCCCTCCCTGCAATAGACCCGCTCTCTTCTGGCGCCGGTGTCACACTGAAGCACGCGTGCAGGTGCCTGGCGAGGGTGCATCAGGAAATTGACAGGAGGGAGAGATGGGGAGGATGAAAGGCATGGTTTATGGTCGAGCAAGCAGCTTGCTGCCTCGCTGCTGCAGTGCAGCTAGCGTTAAGCTGTAGCAGGCTGGTGCACTTGCGGAAGAATTCATGGGGAGTCAGTCAGTCGCAATTGAGTTGAGACCAGGGGTTAGCAATGAAATTGGCCCGTCTTTTATGGATCGGGTCTATGCTGGGCCGTCGTCGTTACGCTGGAGCACAGTGCTAACCATCACTGTCAGGCACTGCTTGCTCGTAGTCGGGCTTCGAATCACCAATGCAATGCACCTAGCGCCAAGGAGTTCCCAGAACTATGTACCATTGCCATGCTCGTCGCCATGCATATGGAGTCCAGGCAAGCCATCGCCACTCCCCTAGTAACTGTTTGCAGCCAGATCTCGAGTCCCTGGATGATGTACCGTGAGCCATGCCTTAACGCTACAATCCGAGCGAACCGTCTCTCCCTCCTCTGCTGCAACCTTGCTTGAAGACGCGTGAGAGCACTGCACGCTGACTGAATGGGCGTGAGGGAAAACTACTCTACCTGGAGCCGTAGCCATCACTGTGCATGTCGAAGCCCAGCATGCCGTCGCTCTCACCCTCGCCTGCAGAATTCAGACCCCCTAAGAGAGACTGCCCATCCAGCTTACCTTAATTCCCCTCCATCCATCCTTCCAACCACTGCCGAGTGCTAACCTAGTGGCCCCACCTGGAGCCGTAGCCATCGCTGTGCATGTCGAAGCCCAGCATGCCGTCACTCCCCCCCTCAGCTGCAGCCCGCACCAGCACGGCCCCACAGCCATTGCCGAACAGAATGCACGTGCCCCTGTCCGACCAGTCCATGCACTCTGGCGTTGCATGCGGATCCTGACTGGAAACTCATGACCCCTCTGAGAGAGACTATCCATTCAGCTTACCTTGGCCTCTCAATACACTGCTGAGTGCGTGCTACCCTAGTAGCCCTACCTGGAGCCGATGCCATCGCTGTGCATGTCGAACCCCAGCATGCCGTCGCTCTCGCCCTCGCCTGCAGCCTGCACCAACACGGCCCCACAGCCGTCGCCGAACAGAATGCACGTGCCCCTGTCCGACCAGTCCACGTATCGCGACAGCCCATCCGCCCCCACCACCAGCACCCGCTCATACCCCCCTCCTGCAGGGTTGGTTCAATGGTAGGAGATGGATGGAAAAGTGACAAGCGAAGAGCAAGGGGAGCTATCAAAAAGAGCTGTCAAAGGCAAAATGTCCGACCAGTCCACGTATCGCGACAGCCCATCCGCCCCCACCACAAGCACCCGCTCATACCCGCCTCCTGCAGGGTTGGTTTGTCCAAAGAGAAAGATTAGACAGGTGGGGAGCATAAGCACAGAGCAAGTGGAACACAACTTTAGAGGAGCAGTCCACGTGCTAGACAAACGGGCTGAACATTTCACATATCGGAACAGCCCATCTGTTCCCACCAAAAGCACACGCTCATATCCGCCTCCTGCAGGGTTGATTGGTTCAGTGCATAAGAGTGGACAAGTTGGGAGAATAAGCAGAGCATGTGGAGCAAGAGTTAAGAGGAGCAGTGCACGAACTGAGACAAACTGTACGACAGTCCACGTGTTGGGACAGCCCATCCGCCCCTACCACAAGCACTCCCTCAAAGCGGCCTCTTGCAGGGTTGGTTCGGCGGCACAAGATAGAAAGACAAGTGAGGAGCTATGGGTAAGAAGCGAGAGGAGCAGTCACATAAAGCACGAAGGGGTTGAAGCAACAATACGCAACGCTAAAAGCTCGGTCCACTAACTAAGGGCTGCCTCCTGGGGGGTTATGAACTAAAGCACTCGAGGCTGGTTATGACGGGTACGAGGGTTTAGGTGTGTGTTCACTGGTTCAACTCGGTACTATCATTCAGGTGACGCTGAGGTAATCCGTGTATGTGGCCTGAGGTGAGATCATTATGTGGTGTTGTGTGGACTTGACTTTCATGAACATGGAGCATTATGCATCTGACCCGAGGCGTACCTGTGGTGATACACATGAACTTCAGAGAAAAATACCCAACCCAATGAACCCTGGTAATACCTTGGATGAATCGGGAGGCGGTGACAAGGCCGAGGACAAAGCCACTGCAAGCTGCAGTGAGGTCGAAAGCCACAGCTCGTTTGCAGCCCAGGTCCCGTTGAACCTGGCAGCACGGGAGCAGGGAGTGGCGGGGAAAGACAATCAGCAATCAGATTATTGAGCTGACTCTACAAAGCCGCTGCAGTGAGGTCGAACGCCACAGCCTGGCAGCCCTGGTCCCGTTGAGCCTGGCAGCAAGGGAGTGGGAAAGGCAGGGAAGGCAATTGGCAATCAGGGCTCGGGTGCAGAATGAGGAAGGGGTGATCTGCTATTGGCACGCGATACGAAACAGGGGAATCTACGTACGAACAATGCTCCTCAGGTAAATTCCACCGTTCATGTTTTGAAGATTAATGTGCAGACGATGATAAGTTGTCGCGTGGACTCGAAAACAATGGTAACCAGTGGCACATCAACAACCCATGCATCTGTGACCGCGTCCACGAATCGAGCCCGTGAGATGCGTTCGAGTATGATCGCCGCACGCAGTCACGTGAGATCGTCACGGCCTGACGTGGAGACATTCAAGGCTTGACGCCCAGATAATCACCGATTCTCGACTCTCTTTTTCATGGTGAACCATGCAGGAATTAGTCTTGTCTACAAGCTCCGCTACTCAATGCAGCCACCGCCTAAAATTTCATCGGCGAAGGTTGTCGTGCAAATGACGATCATGGTAACCAGTGATCGTAACCATAACCCACGAATTGCGCATGAAACTCACCAGACAACCACCGTCGAATGTCGCCGCCGTCGTCAAGGTTAACTTGCGAATGAAGATTATGGTAACCAGAGATGGTATCGAAATCCACGAATTTCGCATGGAACTCACCAGGCAACCACCGCCGAAAATGTCGTCGGGGGTTGACGTGCAGAAAATGATCAGGTCCACGTCAGCAGGATCCACGCCAGCCATCTCCAGAGCCTTCCGCGAAGCCTCTGTAGCCAGGCCGGTCATCGTCTCGCTCTCTGAGCAAACCCCCGGCGATGGATGTGTTACAAAGCAGACGGGGAGAGACAAGTGGCGGGAGTGGGGAGAGGAGAATGAGTGAGGTGGCTTTCGGAGTTCGTGGTGAGAAAGCGCGTCAGAGAGAGGAATGAGGGAACTGGAGTTTTCCAAAAACATCCTTCGCGCTGTTCTTGTTCGTTTCACTCTTTCCGTGCACATCCCGTAAGACAAAGATATACAGCAAGCTATGAAGGCTGGTTATGCGAAGACGCAACAGCTTACCAGTGAGAATATGGCGGTTGCGAATGCCGGTACGGGTGGCGATCCATTCATCTGACGTTTCCATCAGGGTTGCGAGGAAATCATTGGTGACGATCTTCTCTGGCACAGCTGAGCCGGTTCCGATGATTCGAGAACCACGGCCGGGCTTCCTGCGTAGTGGACATAAATGAATTAAAATTGCACGTTGTGCATGAGTACAGATGACGAAGAGAAGATGAGGGAAGGGAATGTTGATCCATTCTGAGTGACGACCTTTGGCGAAAGAGTCATCGCAATGTGTGATTCTATAATGTTACACTCCTGCAGCTTTTCCTATTTATAACCTCTTTCTCTAATTCACCTCTTCCGAGATTTCTTCTCGCCGGAGTCAGCAGCCGGAGGCCCTGTGGTGGCTAAATTCACCACATTCAACGCTCCTGTGGACGAAGCTTTCAATGCCTGGCGTTGCCATGCCCTGGAGCTCGATCCAGACAGAATCAGTTTGCCGTTTCCGCGAACAGCAGCACAAGACGAGAATCTGCTATTCTGGCTAATGAAATCGCTGCCTCTCTCAACAGACGCACAAACTATGGAGACGGAGGAAGCGGCACTAACGGCCTGGGCCATGTCTGTTTGGCTAACCGGGAACACCTGTTAGTGGACACTAGCACAGCACCTGCTAGAGTGCACTCAGCACAGCATAAGACGGGTGAAGGGTTCGTCAGAACCGTGAAGACGGAAAAACAAAAGAATATATCTAGGAGGCTATCTGACAAGTTGAAGAAATGGCTAGGCTAGAGAGTAATGTGCCTGCTGTGGCTGTCTGGGCCTGTGATGGCTGTCCAGACCAGTCTAGGAGGCACATCAGATCTGTGCTAACAGTGTGATGTGTTATTTGTCTGGCAGAAGAAGACCCGTACACTACTAGCAGAAGACCCACACAAATTCGCCTCCTAGCTAACCAGCCAGATCAGGAGGACCAGAGAGGTTACAAAGTCTGGATCAGGGTCGGAGGGTACGACAGGATTTCATCCATCGGACGGTGATCAGCACCTAGCCGGGGCTACCGAGGAGCATCCGGCCGTCAACGGACATCCTCGAAATTTGCTGTTTCCACGGTCAGGAGGTTGAAGTGACGTTGGAGGCGACATCCGTGACATGGCGACAATCGTGAGATTCGTCATCAGCGGCTCGTGTGTTGTTAGGGATGATCACGCTTGCGAAAGCCGTGATTGCGTGGCAAAGTTTCGATCAGATCCACATCAGCACTCACCACTGTTGGAAAATTCGGAACTGCATTCGAAGTCCACTAAGGAACCAGCGATACAAAACATAATGGTACACGCAAAGAACATATAATTTACAATCCATGTACGCTCTACTTGGCAGGCCATACGTTGAGACTTTTGTTGTACCTAAATACCAACCCAAACGAATATACTACAGATCACTTGCCCTATTGACAGTTGTGAAACTGGAGAAGGAGAATCCCAGCCTTCTCTTTGGAAGTGCAGGTTTCGACGAGCTTTGCCCCTTCACTGTTGCTTCGTCACTACTGGTCGCTAACTTTGCCTGCAAACCACCTCCCTGAGAAATTGCTGCAGGAGGAATGCCTATTATCCCACCACGAACCTCACTGTGTTGTACATTGTCACTTCTCACCACACCAGTCCCAGAATCACCAGCATTCATGTTTTTACTCACCTCACCGCCAGCAACACCAGCAACACCAGCACCATCAGCACCAGCAGCATCCACATGCGAACCCCCAAAGCTGATTGCGTTGAAAGCAGCAAGCGCGCGGGTAGCAGCAGCAGCGGCAGCAACATTCCTAGTCGGGGTAAGCGAGAAACTGGTAGCAGTGGAGGTTCGGCTGAAGCTGAAGGCGCTGGTGGGAGTGTAAGAGGCCAGGGAGGATGCTAGAGAGGGAGGAGTGGAGAGAGCTGAGGGGACTACTGGGCCGTCGGGAGTGGCAGAGGCAGTGGTGGTGGTGGTGCTGGTGGTGCTGGTGATGTGGGTGGAAGGTGGATGGGGCGGACTGATGGCTGTTGTGCTGACCGTGTGTCGCAGGGGAGGAGGCCTGGAGAAAGACGCACCGACAGAGGGGAGGAGAGAGGAGGAGAGGGGAGGAGGGTAGCGGTGAGGAGAAACGCGAGGAGGGAATTGATACATGGAGACAGTAACTGTCGTGCATCAGCACTTTAATCAAATACAAAGAGAGAAAAAAAACTAGGCGATGACACTTGAATACAAAAAGGCATATATATATGGGCAGAATAAGAGCTGCAAGCCATGTAGGTGTACGCATTCAGGTATGCGCAAAGTCACACTCATTGCACATTGCACATCGCACATTGCACACATACACAAATGCACATCGGACATCGCACACTGCACCATAGATAAACAAATGGGCACTGCACATTGCACATTGCACGCACAGGCACACGCACAGGCACACGCACAGGCACACGCACCTCTCACTGCTTGATCCTGTAGCCTCTGTCACCGACACACTCCTCCCACTACTGCCCAAATAATGCCCACCACTCCCCAACTGACGCCCACCATCTCCCACCCTCTCCTCTCCCTCCTCTCCCTCCTTTTCCTCCTCTTCCTCCTCCTCTCCTTCTTCCTCCTCTCGCACACTCCCGTCAAGCATGCTTTCACTGAAGCTGCTATTACCAGGAAACCTACTCTCCACCGAGCTGCTCCCAGCAAACCGACTCTCCCAAGCACTGCCACCACCACCAGCAAACATGCTGTCATTGAAGCTGCTCATTCCATGCCCCCGCAGAGTCTGCCTTGACAGCTGTCCCCTTCTGGACGCTCCAGGGGATGGGGTCCCTCTATAAGCCCCGCCCCCTCCCTCGTTATAAGCACCCTCACTGGTAAAACCAGGCCCTGCCTCGCTATAAGCACCACCAGCCAATGCTTGCAAATCTGCCCTAGAGATTGCTGCCTGTGGATCCTGCCCGAAAACCGCTGCTTGTGAGTCTTCTCCAGAGGAAGATGCCTGTGGATCTGCCCCACCTGCAAAGTTTTCAGTATCTGCCCCAACTGCATCCCTCTGTTGTTCTTCTGCCCCAGCCACCGCTCTCTGTGCTTCTGCCCCAGGTGTAACCCTCAGGGTTTCTGCTGCACGCGCAGGCAAGCTGTGCCTTGGCGTTTGGACCCCCTCCTCCAAAGCTGGGCCTTTGCCTTGGTCTGTGGAGCGTAAACCTGCTGCTGTAAGTGCATCTGCAGATCTTGCATCATTGACAAACACATCCCCTTCTCGTCCATCCCTGATAACCCCTGCCGATCCAGCATCCCTGCTGCTTGACGGATCCATCCCACCAGCACCGGTCCTAGGGTTCATTGACAGGTACCGAGACAGACCCCTTCCAGGCGGAACCTGGTGGAGGGCTCGACTGGGCAGGTCTGTGCCTTGCTGCAGAGGCAGACCGGACAGGTTCCCACTAGACAGGTTCCCACTAGACAGGTTCCCACTAGACATGTATTTTCTGGGAGGAGGTTTGGACGGGGTTCGGCTGGAGGGGCTGGTGAGGCTAAAGGAGGGGCTGCTGTTGGTGTTGCTGTTGCTGTAGGAATACTTGAAGGTTTTGCTCTTGGAGAACGGGCGTGTCGTGGGGGATTGCAGAGTGGGGTTGTAACGAGGGCTGTAACGAGGGTTTGTTGCAATGAGGGCTGGCGGGCGGTGGTGTTGTGGCGCGTGAAAACTGGATGGGCTTGTGCTGGATAGGTCAAAAGCAGCAGGGCTGCGCTTGAAGGTCCTGCTCTTGCTGAAGGGGTGTGGAGAGCGGGGAGAGAAGGCATCTGGAAAGAGTGAGTGAGTCGCACTGGTAGTGGCAGAAGCAGCAGCAGCAGCAGCAGCATCAGCAGCAGCAACAGCAGCGGCAGCAGCAGCAGCAACACTGGTAGGTGTTGAACCAACGGTGCCAATGGCAATGCCACGAGCATTGGAAGCAGCACCAGATGATACTGCTGCCACTGCAGCCGCAGCTGCTGATGGGCTCATGACCGTTTGGCTGTAACTTAGCACCCTTCCACTGTGGCTCTGACGTTGTTGGAGTCTCATAGCATCAGCTGGGTTATTTGAGAATATAGCCTGGATATTAGGGGTGTCAGAGATACTTGCTGCACTCCTGGTTTGTCGAAGGTTCCGGGAAGACTCCAACCGGCGAAGGTTCTGAGAAGATTCGAACCGACGGAGATTCTTCTTGGAGAAATCGGGGCGCTGAAGGTTCCGGGAAGATGCGAGGCGCTGCAGGTTTCTGGAAGGCTCCAGGCGCTGAAGGTTCCTGGGAGATTCCATACTCGGGAGGTTCCCAAGTGACCCGCGCCGGTGGTGGTGGTGGATGTTGCTGGTGGGAGATTCTAGATGCTGCAGCAGGTCTGGAACAGACCGGTTCGAGGCAGATCGACGCAGCAGCCTATCCGAACCTGGGGATGGTGACATCATTCTGGAGGACGGTGACATCATCCCAGGGGATAGTGACGTCACTCTGGGAGCTGGTGACGTCATCCTAGGGGATGGTGACGTCACTCGGAGGGATGGTGGCATCATTCGAGGGGATGGTAACGCAAGCCTGGGGGATGGCGGTGTGAGTCTCGAGGAGGATGGTGTGGAAACAGTGAAAGCAGGGAGATCCTCGTAGGATGCTAAGTTGCGCACACGGGTCCATTCCTCTCCCTGCCAGCGAACATACGAGTGAGTGAGTGTGTGAGTTTATGAGTGCGAGAATGTGTATGGGTGTGTGCATGCACAAGTGTCAGTGTAGCATGTGAGTGTGGGTGTGAGCATGTTAAAGAGTGAGTGTGGGGAGGAAGAAGAGGAGGGTAAGGTGGGGAACGGGAACGAAGAAAGGGAGAGGGAAGGGTGGAGAGGAGAGGGGAGAAAATTGTGGAACAATAAGAGGCCTGTCGGCATGGTGAATTTGGAAGCCTTTTCAGTTGACCATTCTACTCGGATTGCCCCTGAACAGGTATCCTTCCTCTCTTTGTGAAGAGTGTAGCACTCAGAGAGGCCTTTCTTAGCAACGGTCCTACAAGCAAGCCATGTTGACTTTTGAGTCGACTCAAAAGTCAAGAGTGTAGCACTCAGAGAAGCCTCTCTTAGCAACGCTCCTACAAGCAAGCCACCACTCACCAGCTGGAATCTTTCCTTCGAGTTTGCCATTTTTGCTCGCACGAATTTCCCCTAGAGAGGTATCCTCTCTTTCTCAGGCACCTAGCGAGCAGCCTCAACAGCAGTCCTTCACGCAAGCCCCCACTCACCAGCTAGAACTTTTCCTTTAAGTTTGCCATTTTTGCTCGGATTGCCTCTAGCAAGGTATCCCCTCCCTTCTTCCTGAGGTACACGACAAGCAACCTCAAGCAGTGGTCCCTTCCACAACAAACAAGCCCCCACTCACCAGCTGGAATTTTTCCTTCAAGCTACCATTTTTGCTCAGATTGCCTCTAGCAAGGTATCCCCTCCCCTCTTCCTGAGGTACATGACAAGCAACCTCAAGCAGTGGTCTCTTCCACAACAAACAAGCCCCCACTCACCAGCTGGAATTTTTCCTTCAAGTTTGCCATTTTCGCTCGGATTGCCTCTAGCACTGGAAAAGGAGATGCAGCAGAACCAGCCACGCCTGCTGCTGCTGCTGCTGCTGCTGCTGCTGCTGCTTCTTCTGCTGCTGCTGCTCCTCCTCCTCCTCCTCTTCCTGGCGCCGCTCCTGCTCCTGCTGCCACGGCTGCTGCCCCTGCTGCTGCTCCTCCTCTGTTTGTTGCTGATCCTGCTCCTGCTCCTCCTGCTAACCTACCTTCCCTGGATAAACCTTCCCCAGATAAGCTCTCCCTTGCATGCCCTTGCTTGTGGTTCCGAGGTGAGTTGTTGGCTGGCAAATCAGCTGGAAACGGCACTGTGTATATCCCTGTTGCGGCTGCAGCCACTGCAGCTATTGAGGAGGAGGAGGAGGTGCCTGAGGAGACGAGGGAGGTGAAGGTGTGTGGAGGTGAATATGCCTGTTGCGTCTCCGTTATTCCTGCAGCAGCCGCAGCTGCAGCTGCAGAGGAGGAGGGGGAGGAGGAGGCGAGGGAGGAAGGGGCGAAGGCAGGTAGAGATGGGAGTGAGATGGGGAGTTTGAAGCTCAGGTTGTGGTGTAGAAGAGAGGGAGACGGCTTCTTGGAGGTTCTTGAGAAGCTCTTTAACGAGGGTAAATACTTTTGAGAGCTCTGGTGGAGAGGAGACGCTGGTGTTGGCAATGATGCTGCTGCTGAGCCTGAGACATCCAATGCTGCTGGTAGTGTTGAGAGTGGTGATGGTGGTGATATTGCTGCTGGGCCTGACAATGCTGCTGATACTGGTGGTGGTGCTGCTGCTATTGATGGCGGCGGCGAGGCTGCTAGTGAAAACGACGGCAATCCTGTCAAAGCTGCTGCTCTTGGTGCCGAAGCTGTAGATGCTTCCTTGCTTTTCGCCTCCTCCCCTTCCTCTTCTTCCTCCCCTTCCTCTTCTTCCTCCCCTTCCTCTGCCCTCCCCTCCGTTTCTACATCTATTTCGCACGCAATGCATTGCGTATCTTTTCTTGTTGCCACGTTACACCCTTCCTTCCCTCTACCTATATCTGGTTCATCAGTACGTCTATCTGCTTCATCCTTCTGCTGGTTTGCTTCAGTACTGCCATCACCACCATTTAAATTAACCTCCCCATGCGACCCACCATCATCATCACCATCAGCATCACGATCACCATCACCACTAACATCCGCATCCCCAGCACCATCCCCAGCACCATCACCATCACCATCACCATCACCAGCAGCAGTACGTGCATCCTGCCACACAATCTCCGTCTCCACATCTGCTTCCCCTGCACCATCACCCATTGCCCTCCGACTCAACCCCACCGCCCCTTCTGAATCCTCACAAGCTGGCCTTTCAGTCAACTCAAAAGTCACCTCCTCACCACCGCCATCTGCCCTCCGACTCAACCCCACCAGCCTTTCTAACTCCTCAAGAGTTGACCTTCCAGTCAACTCACCACCAGTCACCTTCCCACCACCATCCAATGCCCACCGATCGAACCGCACCACCTCGTCAGGTTCGGCACGCCACGGGCCCCCATCACCACCGCTGCCACTGAATCCGCCAGGTTCAGTTGGGGGAGTGAAATTGCCCGTTGCCCCCACCTCTCTGAAAGCATCAGGCTTCAGCTCCCTGCCACACATACAAAACTCCCAACAAGGCAACAAGGCAAAACAAAACACAGAGAAGTTTGAGGGGAGTACTGAGGTGACTAGAAAACCAGAGGCATCTGGGAGTTGCAGAGAAGACAAGACAGCCCCATAGACGATCATGAGACCTGAGAATACTGTCACGAGACCTGCCCACCAACCCACCCTTCCACCCACCGTATGTTTTTTGAGAATTCTAAACCAAACATACGCTCCAGAGACATCTGGGAGTTGCAGTAAAGACGGCCCCATAGACGATCATGAGACCTGCCCACCAACCCGCCCATCCACCCACCTGTGCGCGCGGTGTCCTCGGTATAAGATGATGGCGATATAAGCAGCGCAGCACAGCAGGGAGAAGGCGCCGTAGACAATCATGAGGCCCGCCATGGTGGTGGCTGAGATCTGCACCTTCTCCACCATCACTGATGCCGCGTTGTCACAGTTACTAGTGTTCTGCACAAGGGGTAAAAGGGATACCAGGGGGGGAATAGAGGGGAATGACGGTGAATACAAGGCCTGCCATGCCATGGTGGTGGCTGAGATCTGCACCTTCTTCATCATCACGGACGCCGCGTTCTCACAGTTGGATGTGTTCTGATGGGGCCACTATGAGCGAGGCTATAGAGGAAGAGGAGGAGCGTTGGGGGGAGTGAAGGGGGGATCAGGGATTGCTGCTTTTACGATTACAGCAATCTGCTGCACCTTCTCTACCAACCAAAAAGCAGCACATCATCAGAATGAGAGCGAGCTACACGTCAGCAGCAGAAGGACAGTGACACGTCGGCAGGAGCACAGTGACACGTCAGCAGTGATTCGTCAGCAGCAGCACAGCACCTTGATGTGCATGCTGCGAATGCACTGCAGCGCCCCATTCTGTGCCAGCTTTAGCAGCGCACGACAGTGACACGTTAGCAGCACACACGACAGTAACCAGTCAGAAGCAGCAGCACAGCGCACCTTGATGTACATGCTACGAATGCGCTGCAGCTCGCCATTCTGTGCCAGCTCCAGCAGCGCCTGAGAGATGTCCGCCCCGAAGAGAGAGCCCTTCTGGAAGGCCTGATACGGGCAGAGGTGAAGACAAAAGCGGGCAGAAGAGGGGAAGGAATGCAAAGGTCAGCTCCAGCAGCGCCTGGGAGATGGCTGCCCCAAAGAGAGATCCCTTTTGGAATGCCTGATGGGGGTGTGAAGGGGGAGAGGGCAGAGAGTAAGGTGGAAGAAGGCGGAGGGGAGGGGCGGAGGGGAGGGGCGGAGGGGAGCGGCGACTTGGTTAAGGTGAATGTGGGGGTGGAGAGAAGCCAAGGTCAGCTTCAGCATCACATGGGAGATGTCAGCCCAGGAGAGAGAACCCCTCCGGTGTGCTTTTGAGTCGACTCAAAAGCAGGAGAGACAACCCCTCCGGTGTGCTTTTGAGTCGACTCAAAAGCAGGAGAGAGAACCCCTCCGGTGTGCTTTTGAGTCGACTCAAAAGCAGGAGAGAGAACCCCTCCGGTGTGCTTTTGAGTCGACTCAAAAGCAGGAGAGAGAACCCCTCCGGTGTGCTTTTGAGTCGACTCAAAAGCAGGAGAGAGAACCCCTCCGGTGTGCTTTTGAGTCGACTCAAAAGCAGGAGAGAGAACCCCTCCGGTGTGCTTTTGAGTCGACTCAAAAGCAGGAGAGAGAACCCCTCCGGTGTGCTTTTGAGTCGAATCAAAAGCAGGAGAGAGAACCCCTCCGGTGTGCTTTTGAATCGACTCAAAAGCAGGAGAGAGAACCCCTCCGGTGTGCTTTTGAGTCGACTCAAAAGCAGGAGAGAGAACCCCTCCGGTGTGCTTTTGAGTCGACTCAAGCAGGAGAGAGAACCCCTCCGGTGTGCTTTTGAGTCGACTCAAAAGCAGGAGAGACAACCCCTCCGGTGTGCTTTTGAGTCGACTCAAAAGCAGGAGAGAAAACCCCTCCGGTGTGCTTTTGAGTCGACTCAAAAGCAGGAGAGACAACCCCTCCGGTGTGCTTTTGAGTCGACTCAAAAGCAGGAGAGAGAACCCCTCCGGTGTGCTTTTGAGTCGACTCAAAAGCAGGAGAGAGAACCCCTCCGGTGTGCTTTTGAATCGACTCAAAAGCAGGAGAGAGAACCCCTCCGGTGTGCTTTTGAGTCGACTCAAAAGCAGGAGAGAGAACCCCTCCGGTGTGCTTTTGAGTCGACTCAAAAGCAGGAGAGACAACCCCTCCGGTGTGCTTTTGAGTCGACTCAAAAGCAGGAGAGAGAACCCCTCCGGTGTGCTTTTGAGTCGACTCAAGCAGGAGAGAGAACCCCTCCGGTGTGCTTTTGAGTCGACTCAAAAGCAGGAGAGAGAACCCCTCCGGTGTGCTTTTGAGTCGACTCAAAAGCAGGAGAGACAACCCCTCCGGTGTGCTTTTGAGTCGACTCAAAAGCAGGAGAGAGAACCCCTCCGGTGTGCTTTTGAGTCGACTCAAAAGCAGGAGAGAGAACCCCTCCGGTGTGCTTTTGAGTCGACTCAAAAGCAGGAGAGAGAACCCCTCCGGTGTGCTTTTGAGTCGACTCAAAAGCAGGAGAGAGAACCCCTCCGGTGTGCTTTTGAGTCGACTCAAAAGCAGGAGAGAGAACCCCTCCGGTGTGCTTTTGAGTCGACTCAAAAGCAGGAGAGAGAACCCCTCCGGTGTGCTTTTGAGTCGACTCAAAAGCAGGAGAGAGAACCCCTCCGGTGTGCTTTTGAGTCGACTCAAAAGCAGGAGAGAGAACCCCTCCGGTGTGCTTTTGAGTCGACTCAAAAGCAGGAGAGAGAACCCCTCCGGTGTGCTTTTGAGTCGACTCAAAAGCAGGAGAGAGAACCCCTCCGGTGTGCTTTTGAGTCGACTCAAAAGCAGGAGAGAGAACCCCTCCGGTGTGCTTTTGAATCGACTCAAAAGCAGGAGAGAGAACCCCTCCGGTGTGCTTTTGAGTCGACTCAAAAGCAGGAGAGACAACCCCTCCGGTGTGCTTTTGAGTCGACTCAAAAGCAGGAGAGAGAACCCCTCCGGTGTGCTTTTGAGTCGACTCAAAAGCAGGAGAGACAACCCCTCCGGTGTGCTTTTGAGTCGACTCAAAAGCAGGAGAGACAACCCCTCCGGTGTGCTTTTGAGTCGACTCAAAAGCAGGAGAGAGAACCCCTCCGGTGTGCTTTTGAGTCGACTCAAAAGCAGGAGAGAGAACCCCTCCGGTGTGCTTTTGAGTCGACTCAAAAGCAGGAGAGACAACCCCTCCGGTGTGCTTTTGAGTCGACTCAAAAGCAGGAGAGAGAACCCCTCCGGTGTGCTTTTGAGTCGACTCAAGCAGGAGAGAGAACCCCTCCGGTGTGCTTTTGAGTCGACTCAAAAGCAGGAGAGAGAACCCCTCCGGTGTGCTTTTGAGTCGACTCAAAAGCAGGAGAGAGAACCCCTCCGGTGTGCTTTTGAGTCGACTCAAAAGCAGGAGAGAGAACCCCTCCGGTGTGCTTTTGAGTCGACTCAAAAGCAGGAGAGAGAACCCCTCCGGTGTGCTTTTGAGTCGACTCAAAAGCAGGAGAGAGAACCCCTCCGGTGTGCTTTTGAGTCGACTCAAAAGCAGGAGAGAGAACCCCTCCGGTGTGCTTTTGAATCGACTCAAAAGCAGGAGAGAGAACCCCTCCGGTGTGCTTTTGAGTCGACTCAAAAGCAGGAGAGAGAACCCCTCCGGTGTGCTTTTGAGTCGACTCAAAAGCAGGAGAGACAACCCCTCCGGTGTGCTTTTGAGTCGACTCAAAAGCAGGAGAGAGAACCCCTCCGGTGTGCTTTTGAGTCGACTCAAGCAGGAGAGAGAACCCCTCCGGTGTGCTTTTGAGTCGACTCAAAAGCAGGAGAGAGAACCCCTCCGGTGTGCTTTTGAGTCGACTCAAAAGCAGGAGAGAGAACCCCTCCGGTGTGCTTTTGAGTCGACTCAAAAGCAGGAGAGACAACCCCTCCGGTGTGCTTTTGAGTCGACTCAAAAGCAGGAGAGAGAACCCCTCCGGTGTGCTTTTGAGTCGACTCAAAAGCAGGAGAGAGAACCCCTCCGGTGTGCTTTTGAGTCGACTCAAAAGCAGGAGAGAGAACCCCTCCGGTGTGCTTTTGAGTCGACTCAAAAGCAGGAGAGAGAACCCCTCCGGTGTGCTTTTGAGTCGACTCAAAAGCAGGAGAGAGAACCCCTCCGGTGTGCTTTTGAGTCGACTCAAAAGCAGGAGAGAGAACCCCTCCGGTGTGCTTTTGAGTCGACTCAAAAGCAGGAGAGAGAACCCCTCCGGTGTGCTTTTGAGTCGACTCAAAAGCAGGAGAGAGAACCCCTCCGGTGTGCTTTTGAGTCGACTCAAAAGCAGGAGAGAGAACCCCTCCGGTGTGCTTTTGAGTCGACTCAAAAGCAGGAGAGAGAACCCCTCCGGTGTGCTTTTGAATCGACTCAAAAGCAGGAGAGAGAACCCCTCCGGTGTGCTTTTGAGTCGACTCAAAAGCAGGAGAGACAACCCCTCCGGTGTGCTTTTGAGTCGACTCAAAAGCAGGAGAGAGAACCCCTCCGGTGTGCTTTTGAGTCGACTCAAAAGCAGGAGAGACAACCCCTCCGGTGTGCTTTTGAGTCGACTCAAAAGCAGGAGAGACAACCCCTCCGGTGTGCTTTTGAGTCGACTCAAAAGCAGGAGAGAGAACCCCTCCGGTGTGCTTTTGAGTCGACTCAAAAGCAGGAGAGAGAACCCCTCCGGTGTGCTTTTGAGTCGACTCAAAAGCAGGAGAGACAACCCCTCCGGTGTGCTTTTGAGTCGACTCAAAAGCAGGAGAGAGAACCCCTCCGGTGTGCTTTTGAGTCGACTCAAGCAGGAGAGAGAACCCCTCCGGTGTGCTTTTGAGTCGACTCAAAAGCAGGAGAGAGAACCCCTCCGGTGTGCTTTTGAGTCGACTCAAAAGCAGGAGAGAGAACCCCTCCGGTGTGCTTTTGAGTCGACTCAAAAGCAGGAGAGACAACCCCTCCGGTGTGCTTTTGAGTCGACTCAAAAGCAGGAGAGAGAACCCCTCCGGTGTGCTTTTGAGTCGACTCAAAAGCAGGAGAGAGAACCCCTCCGGTGTGCTTTTGAGTCGACTCAAAAGCAGGAGAGAGAACCCCTCCGGTGTGCTTTTGAGTCGACTCAAAAGCAGGAGAGAGAACCCCTCCGGTGTGCTTTTGAGTCGACTCAAAAGCAGGAGAGAGAACCCCTCCGGTGTGCTTTTGAGTCGACTCAAAAGCAGGAGAGAGAACCCCTCCGGTGTGCTTTTGAGTCGACTCAAAAGCAGGAGAGAGAACCCCTCCGGTGTGCTTTTGAGTCGACTCAAAAGCAGGAGAGAGAACCCCTCAGGTGTGCTTTTGAGTCGACTCAAAAGCAGGAGAGAGAACCCCTCCGGTGTGCTTTTGAGTCGACTCAAAAGCAGGAGAGAGAACCCCTCCGGTGTGCTTTTGAATCGACTCAAAAGCAGGAGAGAGAACCCCTCCGGTGTGCTTTTGAGTCGACTCAAAAGCAGGAGAGACAACCCCTCCGGTGTGCTTTTGAGTCGACTCAAAAGCAGGAGAGAGAACCCCTCCGGTGTGCTTTTGAGTCGACTCAAAAGCAGGAGAGACAACCCCTCCGGTGTGCTTTTGAGTCGACTCAAAAGCAGGAGAGACAACCCCTCCGGTGTGCTTTTGAGTCGACTCAAAAGCAGGAGAGAGAACCCCTCCGGTGTGCTTTTGAGTCGACTCAAAAGCAGGAGAGAGAACCCCTCCGGTGTGCTTTTGAGTCGACTCAAAAGCAGGAGAGAGAACCCCTCCGGTGTGCTTTTGAGTCGACTCAAAAGCAGGAGAGAGAACCCCTCCGGTGTGCTTTTGAGTCGACTCAAAAGCAGGAGAGAGAACCCCTCCGGTGTGCTTTTGAATCGACTCAAAAGCAGGAGAGAGAACCCCTCCGGTGTGCTTTTGAGTCGACTCAAAAGCAGGAGAGACAACCCCTCCGGTGTGCTTTTGAGTCGACTCAAGCAGGAGAGAGAACCCCTCCGGTGTGCTTTTGAGTCGACTCAAAAGCAGGAGAGAC